CCTCTTTAGCCTCCCTCCTCTGGCTCTTGTGCTTGATGTGGGAGAGCCAAGTCGTGGGAGAGCTTACATGCTTGCCTGCCCACAAGCCCTTTTCATGACGCTGATTGTTTGACAGAGTACAAAGAGGCCGGGGAGGCGGGTTTGCCTGCAAGACCTGAAAATTGACATGATGTGTGTGAGAATTGCACACAGCAGAACATGCGGGCCGTGTAGCAATGAGGGAAATCACATTCATGTCAGTGGTCACAGAGCTGGAAGTGGTAATTCAATCAGCTGCAGTCTCAGTGCAGAAACTGCTGTGGGACAACTACTTACCATGTCTAATGAAACTAAACAGCCTGCAGTATTTTTAGTCTTTATTTTACAGTTAAAATATATGTTTATCAAATAAAGTCTAATGTTACAACTAATTGTGGCTCCCTTTAAACAAATGAAAAACGAATGTCAACAGAAAAACGAAACAGATGAACTATAATAACCTGGAACGTGTCTAATCAAACGTTGGCCTCGTGTCGTCAGATTAGATAAAATAATCTGTCTTGTTGGTGACCCCTGGTCGGACGTACCTGGACAGGTTCCTTGTTTTTACCCGAAGTGCCACCTTTGTGTGAGGAGGCGACGTGAGCCAAATACTGGATGACTTTCTTAGTGTTTTCTGTCTTCCCAGCTCCAGACTCGCCTCTGGAAGAGACACAAAACTATGTCAAGCACACAAAGGGCACACAATAAATACCCCTCGGGGGTTAAATGGTCAACCTTAAAACATATGGTGATTTTAGAGAGAGAGAACGCACACAGGAACAAGTGACCAAACACACATTCATCACAACGATAAACACAGAGAGACGTGACAAGGCCACACGTCCAAACACAATGCAAGTGTGGAGAATACAATCTGTGTTTGTGTTGCTGGTTTTGGAATGAGAAGAAAGGAAAAAATGAACAAAAATAGCTTCAGTGAATGGGTCTAAAGAGGGATTCTTGACAATGACAGGAAGTATGAAGGCAGACACACGATGAATGCAGACAGACGGCAGCTAAAGGTTGACCTCTGACCTCGTCATCATGCCTGGTTAAACGCTTTTTGAGCTGTTTTTCACATTTTTAACAAGCTCGAGTAGGATTTTTATGTGATAAAGACGTTCTGGACCAAATAAAGACCTGAAAGTGCATTCAATAATACTTTTATGGAAAAATGCAATCTTGCATTGGTCTGTTGATTCCAATAACCAGCTTCTAAGTTTTAAACACACATCTTGTGTGAACAATTCAGAGTATGAGTTGGGGGTCAGTCTCAGCTACCCCCACACCAAAATGTACCTCAGTATCTGTAAAATGATTTGAGTTACCAATATATCCATACAGCTTGAACTGGGTTGACTCCAAAAGTAAACACATGTACCTCAAATGATTACTTTTGGAAAAAGTATTGTAAATGTGTTCAGTGATTTCTAATGATACAGACAACAAGAAGACACGCGCATGAAAAGATTAAAGCTCCACCTTTGCTTTAGCCGGTGGGCAATAACAACAGTAAACATTTACTGAGTGAACCAAAAACATCTACAACAGATATATTTATTTAAATTAAATGAATGCAGGTCCTATTGGATGCAAATGACAACAAATGAGAGTGAATCAAACACTCAGCATTTTTAGAGACACTCCCAAACTCTTAGAGTGAAAAATGTTCCTAATTCCAAAAGAGAGAGCCTTAACACACACAGACACACACACACACACACACACACACACACACACAC